TACGACATTTTTACTTGATTTCAAACGACATGCTTTACTATGACGTTTTTACTTGATTTTGGACGACATACTATACAATGACGTTTTTACTTTATTCCAAACAACATGCTATACTATGACATTTTTATTTCATTTCAGATGACATGCTATAATATGATGTTTTTTTCATGGCTTTGGACGACATGCTATACTGTAACATTTTTACTTGATTTCAAACAACATGCTATACTATGACGTTTTTACATGATTTTGGACGACATGCTATACTACGACGTCTTTACTTGATTTCAAACAACATACTATACTGTGACTTTTTTCATGATTTTGGACAACATGCTATACTATGACTTTTTATGCTGAATTCGGACGACATGCTATAGTATGACGTCTTTACTTGATTTCAAACGACATGCTATACTATGACTTTTTTCATGATTTTGGACGACATGCTATACTATCACGTTTTATGCTGAATTCGGACGACATGCTATACTATGACGTTTTATCCTGAATTCGAACGACATGCTATATTACAGTGTTTTTACTTAATTTTGGAGGACATGATATAGTTTGACTTTTTTCATGATTTTGTACCACATGCTAAACTATGACTTTTTTTCATGATTTCGGACAACATGCTATACAATGACTTTTTCATGATTTTGGACCACATGCTATACAATGACTTTTTCATGATTTTGGACCACATGCCATACTATGACTTTTTTTCATTAATTTGGACGACATGCTATACTATGACTTTTTTTCATGAATTTGGACCACATGCTATACTATGACTTTTTTTCATGAATTTGGACCACATGCTATACTATGACTTTTTTTCATGATTTTGGACGACATGCTATACTATGACTTTTTTTCATGAATTTGGACGACATGCTATACTATGACTTTTTTTCATGAATTTGGACGACATGCTATACTATGACTTTTTATGCTGAATTCGGACAACATGGTATACTATGACGTTTGTAATTTATTTCAAACAACTTGCTATACTATGATGTTTTTACTTTATTTCAAACAACTTGCTATACTATGATGTTTTTACTTGATTTCAAACGACATGCTTTTCTATGACTTTTTTACTTTATTTTGGACGACATGCTATACTATGACTTTTTTACTTGATTTTGGACGACATGCTATACTATAACGTTTGTATTTGATTTCAGACGACATGCTATAATATGATGTTTTTACTTGATTTTGGGCGACATGCTATACTATAATGTTTTTACTTCATTTCAGACGACATGCTATACTATGAGGTTTTATCGTGAATTCGGACGACACGCTATACTATGACTTTTTTTCATGAATTTGGACCACATACTATACTATGACTTTTTTTCATAATTTTGGACCACATGCTATACTATGACTTTTTTACTTGATTTTGGACCACATGCTATACTATGACTTTTTTTCATGATTTTGGACCACATGCTATACTATGACTTTTTTTTCATGATTTTGGACGACATGCTATAGTATGACTTTTTTTCATGATTTTGGACGACATGCTATACTATGACTTTTTTTCATGAATTTGGATGACATGCTATAGTCTGACTTTTTTTTCGTGATTTTGGACGACATGCCATAGTCTGACTTTTTTTCATGATTTTGGACGACATACTATACTATGACTTTTTTTCATGAATTTGGACGACATACTATACTATGACTTTTTTTCATGAATTTGGACGACATGTTATACTATGACTTTTTTTCATGATTTTGGACGACATGCTATACTATGACTTTTTTTCATGATTTTGGACGACATGCTATACTTTGACTTTTTTTCATTATTTTGGACGAAATGCTATAGTATGACTTTTTTTCATGATTTTGGACCACATGCCATAGTCTGACTTTTTTTCATGATTTTGGACCACATGCTATAGTCTGACTTTTTTTCATTATTTTGGACGACATGCTCTACTATGACTTTTTTTCCATGATTCTGGACGACATGCTATACTATGACGTTTTTGCTTGATTTCGGACGACATGCTATACTATGACATTTTTCATGATTTTGGATGACATGCTATACTATGACATTTTTACTTGATTTCGGACGACATGCTATACTATGACTTTTTATGCTGAATTCGGACGACATGGCATACTATGATGTTTGTAATTTACTTCAAACAACTTGCTATACTATGATGTTTTTACCTGATTTTGGACGACATACTATAGTTTGACTTTTTTTTCATGATTTCGGACAACATGCTACACTATGATGTTTTTACTTCATTTTAGACGACATGCTATACTATGATGTTTTTTCATGATCTCGGACGACATGCTATACTATGACGTTTTATGCTGAATTCGGACGACATGCTATACTATGATGTTTTTTCATGATCTCGGACGACATGCTATACTATGACTTCTTTACTTGATTTTGGACGACATGCTGTACTATGACTTTTTTACTTGATTTTGGACCACATGCTATACTATAATGTTTTTTCATGATTTTGGACGACATGCTATACTATGATGTTTTTACTTGATTTTGGACCACATGCTATACTATGATGTTTTTACTTGAATTTGGACCACATGCTATACTATGATGTTTTTACTTGATTTTGGACCACATGCTATACTATAATGTTTTTTCATGATTTCGGACGACATGCTATACTATGACTTTTTATGCTGAATTCGGACGACATGCTATACTATGATGTTTTTACTTGATTTTGGACCACATGCTATACTATAATGTTATTTCATGATTTCAGACGACATGCTATACTATGACTTTTTATCCTGAATTCGGATGACATGCTATATTACAGTGTTTTTTCATGATTTTGGACAACATACTATGATTCGACTTTTTTTCATGATTTTGGACAACATGC